ACAGGGGCTTCCAAAACCTTAAAACAGGTGGGTTCCCTATGGAGACGCTTAGCCCTAAACCCTAAATGTAGGGTTTCTGTACGGGCTCTTATGGAGTCTTGCACGGGGTTCTGTAGGGGGTTTCACAAGGGCTCTATAGGACGATGGGGTCTCCATCAGGATTTATGAAGGGTACCATAATTTAGGGTGCAGGGTTTGGTGGCTAGGGTTTAGGGTTTACGCGTGGTTTAGGCGTTTGGGGGTTAAAGACTTTCACTATTTTGCCGGTGCCTTCAAGTTGGCCAAACTTGCGAACAAAGAGAACCCTGTCGAACAAGCAACCGTTCTACAACCCTTACAGAACCGTGATAACTGCCTTATAGAATCCGCGGAACCCTCATAGGACCTATATGGGTAGGTCTGTAAATTAGGGTCCCTTTTTTTGGTTCCCAATATAGCGCGGCACCGTCATAAAAAGAGCCCTAAACGGGACCCTTATTTAGAGAACTACCCATAACCCTAAACCCTAAACCCTAAACCCTAAACCCTCAACCCTCAACCCTAAACCCTAAACCCTAAACCCTAAACCCTAAACCCGAGTCCGAAGATTGCCTCAGGGATCCGAGTTGCCTCAGCCCCTAAAAGCCCAAGCCCTAAGACCCTAAACCTCGAAACCGCAAAACCATTGTGTAAACCTTTGAACCCTTAAACCCTCAACCCTAAAACCCTAAAACCCTAAACCCTGAAAAATCCCTAACAACCCTGAAACCCTAAACTCCTTAAACCCTAAACCACTCAAAGGATCCGGCCTGGCTGAAGTCCAAGGAGTACACGTGGCCCGTCGTGGCCGTGACCCGAAATCTGCGCAGAGGAGGATAATGATGGAACTTAATTGCGGAGTTGTGTACACTTTCAGTTCTATAAGGGATCAGATTATCCAAAAAAGTTTAACGTGTACTCATTCAGCTACTAAGAGAAGAATAACAATGATCCCAGTCATCCTAACAATAGCAATGGTAACACAAATTAATGACAGAAGTAGTACTAGTAACAATAGAAATGAAAATACGAATACTAACAGTCATAGTCGTTAAAATAACAATAATAAGGGTAATGATGATAACAGCTAATACTGCTAATAATAATAATGATAACTCTGGGGGGATTCAGCAGCCCAGGGTTTCAAAACCCTAAACCGAGGACCTACAACCCTAGCATTTACAATCTGGGAGTTCGGGGCTTTTCAGGAACACTAGCCCCCAAAACGCACAGAATCAGCCCCGCTTCGGACTCAAAGGGCTTAGGGGGTTTGGGTTTCTTTGGGTTAAGGGACTAGGGTTGATGATATGATATAAATCATCCATTACCCATAATGAGGAATCTACCAGAACTCCCACAGCTTAGGGCCTTCAGGTAATGCTGGATTTATATCATCAACAGTAGGGCGGGGGGTTGGCAAGTTCTTGAGAGTGTCAGACCATCAGGAATAAAAATCGCAGGAAGGTTCAATCCCCATTGCAGCTCAACATAACACCGTCAAGCCTCGTCGAGACACTGTAACACGCTATCAACTCCCTTAAACAAGGCGTCTTCGCCGTGCTTTCTGCATGAAACCGAGGCGGCAGCCACTATAGGGATCTCACAAATCAACGAGAATATCCCTTCGTGGTCTCTTTTTCCTTCAACCATGGCTATACATACTAAAACATGCGCCAGAACCCAATCAAAATGATTGAGGCACACATACTAAGCCCTATAAACAAGCCGACCTAAAGAGACCTAAACCCGAAGTTCCAGTTCGCGGCACTAGCCCATAATGTAGGGTTTAGGGGTATGGACGGTCTAGGATTTTGGCTCTGGATTCAGAGCTGAGGATTTAACACAAAATCTTCGATTTTGTATTACACCAGCGTTCGCCAGCCCGGTCTCGTGTACTCCTGAGTCTACTGCAAAGAAACCCTTTAAACCCTAAACCCCAAACCCTAAACCCTCAACCCATGTTTCGAAGGTCAGACTCGGAAACATGTTTCTCAAGCGTTCATGCGTTTCGGGGGCCTAGGACCTGAAGACTACTGGGCTGCTGTTAAGGACCTTAAGTTAAGTTACTATAAGGGTTTAAGATTGAGGGTTTAGGGGCTTACCGTAATAAGGACACCCTCTTACATACCGTATATCCCCCATGGTGGTACCTTAAGTTCCTTAGCAGCAACCCAGACTAAGGTTTGAGGGTTTACGGTAGCTTCAGACCCTAAAACCAGTTACTTGGAGCTTCCTGGGTAGTTAGAAGTGGAGTCATAAGTCCCCTCATCTAGGTTTTAAACATAGTTGCCCTACTTATAACCCTACTTAACACTACCCATGAACCTCCAAGTGCCGCATTCCCAAAACGACATTCTCAAGGGTGGTAGGGCGTTAGGTTCCTACAGCCTAAAGCCCACACCCTAAAACCTACCCGGACCTACCCTGAGCCCCCAAACCCCAACCCAAGCCATAATGTAGGGGCCTCACTTCGGTTCGTAGGAAAACAATCCATCCTGGAAGCTTGGAGTCCTGTCAGAAACCCCCGGTCCGAAACCACTCCCGGTTTAGGGTTTAGGGTTTAGGGTTTAGGGTTTGGGGTTTAGGGGTTTAGGGGTTTAGGGATTTAGGGGGTTAGGGATTTAGGGATTTAGGGGGTTAGGGTTTAGGGTTTAGGGGTTCAGGGATCTTGACCGGGCAATGCTTCTTTCGGCAAGACGAAGAACGCTTGACACATTTTCATCATCAGCCAGCCCTCAGCTGCGATCCTTTGCGTGCCTTCGGCAGACGCCTGTCAGCTGGATAGACAGCACAGCCGTGGAAAAAAAAGGGACTGTGCATTTTCTTCCACGAAGAAAAACATTAGCAAGATGGACTAGACCTGCTGCACGGAGACCTGTCCAACAAGACGTGGATCTGTGATTTTGCGCAGACGGATGGTGAGGTATTATAGGGTTATATGATGTTATATTTGTTATAGAATATGAAATTATATGATACGACATGATTTCACAAGATGTTGTATTGTAGACCAAAAGTACCCGCCGGTCACGTCTTCTGGTCTTCCCGGCTGCTCCCTGGTACTAGATGCAGCTCCTATCTCAGGCTGATGACCAGCCAAAAGGTGAGGCTTAAAACCGCCGAGCGTTGGCCGCTTGCCGAAGCCAGGCCATTCCCCGATGCATTGAAATTCGTTGCTGCTGTGGATGTCCCGGTGCTCAAACCCAAAGCCTCGGTGGTTGAACTCGAAGTAGTAGGAGTAGGACCGGAAAGTAAGCAGGTCGTGTTGATGTCCGCTGCCGCTGCCCCACTCCCACACTGCAACGGAGACTGCTGAGAGCAGCTCCCGGCCACAAAGACACCACAGCGACAAGGGAAATCTGACGGGTTGTAAGTGTGGTTGCCCACCATGTACCTTAACCCCAAACACCAAACAACCTACCTTTTTAAGGACTTAGACAAAGAATTCTTTATAAGGAACCCTACAAAGGTAGGTTCTTTAGGGTCCAGGTACACACCACAGTCCCAATTGTTTTGGGCGCAAAGCTTGAAGCTTTCGCGCATGGAAACACATGGATCAGGCCAGTAGGACACAATCGACCATTGGCAGTCATCCAACATCACAAAGGCCTTGCCCCACCTTTCAACGTAAGTTGCCAAATAGGTGGACAACGACACTGTCACCCTGTCCGCGAAGTCTTCTTCACGGCAACTCGTCTTCTTGAAAGGCACATCCAACGTACTACTGTCCAAGTTGAAGTTGTCAGTAAGCTTGCATGTCAAGGCTGTGCCGTCCACGGCCGTTGCATTGCACAAATGCGACGGCCTTCGATCACAAGCCTCGCGCTGGCAAACTTAGGGTTGAAGCGCAGACCCACGATATCATGGTCCATTATTCATTGAGGATGCTTCCGAAGAAGAATAGCACATGCGGCATAACTGGGACATGAAGCCCCTAAACCCTAAGCCCGGAACCCTAACCTCTGAACCCTAAACCCTAAACCAGCCCGAGCCATGGCACGGTGAAAGCGCTATACCTGGGTTGCTGTAAAGGGACTTAACATAAGCTGCTATAATAAGGAAACGATACTTTTATCTACTACATATCTCCGTTAAGGTAACTTGAACTAAGCTCCTTAACCGCAACTCAAAAAAAAACTAAACCCTAAACCCCTAAACCCTAAACCCCTAAACCCCTAATTACATTTCAAAAATTCGAAACCTCTAAACCCTAAACCCCTAAACCCCTAACTAGACCCCGAAACCCTAAACCCAACCCAGCTACATGCTGTAAACCGCGGGCCAGAGGATTGCAGCCCAGTGATCGGTGAGGTCACAAGTCCTTGGTTCCTCTTTATAATAAGGGTACCCTTTTCCTAATATTCGGTCTTAGTAAGGGTTTAGGGTTCCCTAAACCGTAAACCCTAAACCCTAAAAGAGAAAAAGGGTACTACTCAGCGACCTGGAGTCTTCCAGGCCGCATCTTCCGGCGTAAAAGCCAGGACCATCACCTGCGAATACGGGTTCAGACGATCCAAGGTTTAGGGTTTAGGGTTCCCTAAAGGGTTCCTTAAAGGGTTCCTTAAAGGGACCATACAGGGTTCTAGGTTTAGGGTTTAGGGATTAGGGCTTAGGGCTCTAGGGGTTTAGGGTTTAGGGCTCTTGGGGTTTAGGGTTTATGGTTTAGGACTCTAGGGGTTTAGGGTTTAGGGTTTAGGGCTCTGCGGGTTTAGGGTTTAGGGTTTAGGGCCTTGGGGTTTAGGGTTTAGGGTTTAGGACTCAGGGGTTTAGGGTTTAGGGTTTAGGGTTTAGGGCCTTGGGGTTTAGGGTTTAAGGCTCTAGGGGTTTAGGGATTAGGGTGAAGGGTGTTCTTGGCATAGAGGAAAGTCACAGTTGTCCCCAGAGATCCCCTTACCCCTTAAATTGAGGAATACATACCTTAATCTATAGGGGCCTTAAAGGGATCTATAAGGGTCTCTATAAGGGTTCTATAAGGAATATACCTTAGACTATAGGGGCCTTCATATTATGATTTAAAGGTAGATTCCTTAATTTAAGGGGTATTGGGTTCTCTGAGTCTTCAGATGCCAGCCAGCCACCAGGTTGTCATCAAGCAGAACATCGAAGGACGCACCCAAACAGCCACCATGCCCCGCCGCCCGTCGCCCATCAAAGGAGTAGATTCTAAAGGTCCGCCCATAGGTTTGTTCTACACCATGCCTCAGCCCCAAACCCCAAACGTTCATTTAGGGTTTAGGGTTAGGGTTTAGGTTTTAGGGTTTAGGGTTTAGGGTTTAGGGTCCCTAAACCCTAGACCCTCAACCCAAAACCCCTAAACCCTCAACCCTAAACCCTAAACCCCAAGACCTAAACCCTCAACCCCAGCAGTCGAGCATGCATGCTGCAAACTGGCGAGACGGAGCAGGGTGCGGAATAATGTAGGGGCCTGGAGAAGTAGAACCGGGTTTAATAGTATAATAGTATAATTATAAAAAGGAACCCCAAGATGATATAGGTAATTATTGAGGCCCCTATGTTACCAACAGGCCAAAGCCCCGAAGAAGACTGCAATGACTTGCTTAGGCTGTTCTTGATGAAGTCCTAGCCAAGGGTGCTTGTGGATGGGCGACAACAGGTCCACAAAGTCCTGGTGTTTCAAGCCCGTTTTTGCGACGGCGTCCTGCTGGTTGTTGTAACCTAGGTTTGCCAGTGTCTCCTTAATAAGACTCGGAGGTTCATGGGCAGTTATAAGTACGGCTATAAGTAGGAGAACTATAGTTATGACCTACTTTCGGGAACGTATAACTCAACTTATAACTACCCATGAACCTCCAATAATAAGGGACCCTTTTTCCTGGTAGTCAACTACCCTAAGCCTTAGAACCTAAACCGAGGAGGGCACCACCGGCGGAACCTACTGCTGATGATCCGGTTTTACCTTAACGACCCTAAACTATGGGAGTTATGGTATATTCCTTACTATGGGTAGTGCAGGATTTATGGTCATCAACCGTAGTAACCGTCCAAAAGCCACTGGCCGTAGACGCCCAGGTCGGTGAGAGTTGATCGGAGGCCTCCTGCTGCATTGCCTGCTTGGAGGTTCATGGGTAGTTATAAGTAAGATAACTATGGTTATAACCTATGTTAGGGGACTTATAGCTCTACTTATAACTACCCATGAACCTCCAAGTGGGTTCTTTGGTTGAGGATATTGGGTCGTGAAGGGTTGGGTTTAGGCTTTAGGGTTGAGGATAGGCCATGAGGGTTTAGGGTTTAGTTTCTTGGATTCATGAGATTACTAAGGACTCTTCTTCGTTCGAGTTTTTATAATGTGGTATGTAGTGGTATCATACGCTTTTCTTAGAAACCCTAAACCCTAAGTTCCCAGTTGCCATCCATCACTTCTGCAGTGGACATGCCCAGTGGATCGAAGATCAAGGTCTTGGTCAAAGCTCGGAAGTCCAAACCACTGATGGTTTCCTCTTCACAATTCTGGGGCCTAGGGTCTACGGTGCTAGGGTGCTACGGTTGATGATATAAATCCTGCATCACCCATAACAAGCTATATACCATAACTCCCATAGTTTAGGGTCCTTGCGGTAATGCAGGATTTGATATCATCAACAGTAGGGTTTAGGGTGCTAGGGTGCTAGGAGTTAGGGTGTAGGGCTCCTGAGATTCCTTTCCCCTAAACCCTAAACCCTAGGGTGTCGGGTTGGCTTAGGGTTTAGGGTGTAGGCTGCTAGGGTGTAGGGTCCTCAACCAAAGCCAAGATCTCCACGCCATCAAAGTGAACATAAGTCATTTCCTTGGCTGGTCTCTAGGCTTTTCTGGTGTAGGGTTTTGTTGTTCATCTCTTGTAGTTTTAAGGTTTAGGGTTTAGGGTTTAGGCCCTTTAAAGGCAGTTGAAAACATGCTGGGAAGTAAGGTCCTCTAAGGCCCAGATACAGGAAAATGATAAAATGTCCCAACGGCCGACCTAGTTTCAGTGTTCAGCTCAGGGGTGCAGTTTGGTAGGGGTGGATGATGCAGGCTGTTGTTCACATAAACGGCACGAGATGCCGGGATTCCGCCGACTGTGTACTGCGCCCAGGCCTCCAGGACGAGTTCTTGCGATCTCGGTGCGCCCTCAGAGATAAGGCAAGCAGTATGTGAAGCGACGTCGAGGAGTGACGCATTCTCGTAGGCTGTGCCAGCTGCTATTGGCAACCATTGATGCAGCTTGTCATTCCTGGCTTGGTTTTGGGCAAAGGAAATGTGTAAACCTTCGGCTGATAAACCAACACAAGCTGAAGAACAATCCTTAACCACGAACAGGGATGTGTGACTTGAGAGTCTGGTCATGCTGCAAAGAATCCACGAAATCCGTGGCAAACTTTCATTTGCCATCAGCATTTGCATCACCACCCCCACCAAGGTTTTGGTAATGGAAGCATACCCCCATCTCACGGCAGGCGGACTCACGGCAGCCGTTTTGCTGGAGGCACCTTCGCGTCGGTACGAACCCACTGCCGCCTGGGCCAGTTCTTTGCAGCTGTTGCGAACCAGGCCACCCACCACATCCAACTGTGGTGATAGAGACGCCTGAATAATTAGTAAACTTATCCCCATATAGAGCCCCTATATACGTACACTTTAGTATACCCCAAAACCCCGACTCGAATTCGTGAGGCCCTTGTGTTAAGCTGTGCAGTTCGAGATGCGCCGGCTGTCAGCGTCGTCTGGAACAGGGATGCGAGACCATCGGCAGCCGGGCCCGACATGTTGGTTGCCGATGCTTCACTCGTTTATGGCGCTTTTACGTTTAAGCCAAAGATGGACACATTGCATGTGATGCAACCTCGGGTTTCAACCTGACAAACATGGAACTTCATCGTCGAAACTGTGCAGTTGCATGTGCCAGCAACGTCCGTGCCCAACGAAATGATAGGCACTGTTGGAATACTGTAAAGGGTCTTGCACCATTGTCAATGCAACTCAAGTTTGACAAACGAGGCAATCCAAACAGATCCAAATGATATCAAAAGCTCCAACAGCGCCACAAACCGCGCAAAACAGAGCAATTTTCCCATCAAAAAGCGACTGCAAGGAAACCGTGGTTTGTCCTACACAGTAGGGTTTAGGGTTTAGGGCTTAGGGTACAGGGTTTAGGGCTTAGGGGCCGTCCAGGCATTGCACATGGGCCGTTGCCGTTCAGAGTCTCAGTGGGTTTTTTTTTGGGGGGATGCTATGCGATCATGACATAAGACTATAGACGGATACTACTAGTATTTCATGCCCCGCACGGGATCTTGAGCGTAGGAGCATAACCATTTTGGGTTTCGGGATGTTTGGGGTTTAGGGACTAACTATTTGTAGGGTATATGGTGTATTTAGCGGTCGAAGTTTTCAGGCGCACAGACCAGATTTAAAGGCAAACATGAAAGGTCTAAGAAATGCAACTCAACATTTCTCAGGCACAGAAGAGCTCATCATGTATACAAAACCGCAGAGCTCTTATCTCCCAACGAGTCTCTCGAGAGGTCCTCAAAAAATCGACATCAAAAGTAGCCCTAAACCCTAAACCCTAAACCCTAAACCCCAAACCCTAAACCCCAAACCCTAAACCCTAAACCCCACACCCGAAACCCTAGGTCGTTCTTTAAGGGTTGAGGTAGACCCGAAACCCCCAAGCAACCCCTGAGCTCCCTCCGAAGACTTCTCTGGCCGTGCGGTTTAAGGTTTAGGATTTAGAACTTAGGGCTTAGGGCTTAGGGTTTTGGGCTTAGAGTTTAAATCAAAGTATCTAAAGCCACAAAAGGATGGAAGGCTGACTATGATGAGAGCAGCATTCCGTGGCTCGGAGTCGGCTCGGGGTTCACATTCTTCGCGCTCCGTTGGAGTGAAGAGAATCGCTTGCCGTGGTTCTGATCGCCCGTACACCCTAAAGTCCTAAAGTCCTAAAGTCCTAAAGCCCTTGAACTCGTAATCCCTGAACCTTGAACCCTCCCCAAAAAACCTTAAACCCTAAACGCTCAAACCCTAAACCTCAGATCCTGAAACCTGAAAGAGACGGGCATGCGACGCTCACCCAGGGAGTTGCTGTCAGCCAGAGGCAAAACTGAACATGACACAGAGACTACCCGTGCTGCTATACGTTCCCCGCTTCGGGGTGGTCGCCTTTGACGCTTCCTCCTTGCCTGCCGTCCCGGCCAGAGAAGCTGTTGTCTCCGCGGCTCTGGTGAGAAGCAAAAACGCGGGCGCAGGCCCCCAGTGGCTCTGCAACGACTGCGCACCGGAAGTGCTCGCTTGGCTATGTGCACTGTGGACCTTTTTGAAGCTGAGATATCTTCTTTAGGGTTTAGGGTTTAGGGTTTAGGGGAAAACAGGGCTTTGGAGATTGGATTCAGGCCAGCTTTTGCAAAGGACAGACAACCTGAGGGCTTGAACCCACCGTCCCTTCCACAGGCTCTTTTTTCAGCGCATACAACCGCACCTTCGTGTCGTTGCCCCCCGATCATTAGAACAGGGCTTTTAGGGGGGTACACTACAGTAGACTCACAATAAGGAAGCCACCAAAATAGTATAGGTTTTTCTTAAGGCCCTAGATTAAACCCTAAAAACCCCTTTAAAAATAGTATAGGTTTTCTTTGAGGCCCCTAGATTAACAGAAAACAACATAATACGGGC